CACCAGAGGCGTCACCGAGCTGTGTGGACACCCCGGGCACCTCTGCCAGCTGGGTCTCTCTCGTTCCTTCCTGCGCTGGCGCCGGTGCTGGAGCCAGGGTTTGCCCAGGGCAGACAGTGGTGCCCCAAGCGGGAGGGAAGCTGTCTCACGGTCCAGGCCGTGGGCACCCGCAGCCAGAGAGGGGTGCCAGGCGGTTTCCACAGCTTCCCCACAGGGCCCGTGGATGGGCACTTGGCTCTGCCTCACAGCCATCTGGGCGAACACTGGGGTTTGTGGCTGGGTGGGGGGGGGGCTGCTGGCCCTGTGGCTGCAGTGGACCACGGTGCAGGTCTGTGGGGACAGGGCGGCCTGGGGTGGTGTGAGGGGCTCTGCACCCCTAAAACAGAGCCCTGGCACCTGGTGTTCCTCCCCACAGTGTGCACCCTGCCCAGCCTGGCTGCTGAGCACTCGCTGCTGCAAAAGGACCCCCTGTCGCAGCTGGTACCACCTGTCGGAGGGAGCAGGAGGCCCACCCAGCACATACCTGCTGGGTGCCTGTCAGGACAGGCATGGGGCGCCCAGCCCCGCCTGGGCCACACGGTGCGGGAGCTGCAGTGGGCCCTCCTCTGGCCCAAGCACAGCCCAGCCCTGCTCCCGAGGGTGCGCGCCCACCAGACAAGCCCCGGGCCGTCTGTTCTGCCTCTGCGGCCCCCCTGCCCTGTCCACCCTGCCCCACCTGTCCATTCACAGCCCTGCTCCAACCAGAGCAGCAATGAGGGCTGCGGAAGCCCTGGGGCCCCTCCCGGGAGCACATGCAGGTGGGGACGCGGAAGCAGAGAGGGGGCAGGAAGGGAAGGGGAAGGGCTTTCAGGGGCAGGAGGAGAGGGGCCCCTCAGGCAGTGGGTCAAGCCCTGTGTTCTGACAGCGGTGAGTGCGGGGTGGGCCGAGCACTTAGCCCAAGTAGACTGAGGTGGGGGGACACACACGGGTGGGCTCCAGACACTGGGGGGGTGCCTAGTGGGGGTCCTGCTTCCCATGGGGGCACCTGACATGGGATTGCATCCGCTGGCCCCTGGGGCTGGGGAAGGGCCTCGGCCCCCAGGACAGGTGGGAGGGCAGGAGGGCTGGACGCCTGAGGCCCGGGGAAGGCGGAGAGTAGGCTCCAGACCTGGCCGGCCCCGGGCCGGCTGCAGGCGAGGGTGCCAGGCCATCCCAGTGGCCGGGGCCAGGCGCTGCCTGTCCGTGCAGGATCCGGCTCGAGGCAGACAGACCCCTTTGTCGTCTCCCATACGGGACCCCCCGGGGTGCGCAGCAGCTCCCGCCCCATGTGGTCCACCCCAGGCCCCCACCCAGGAGGCCGCCAGCCTCAGTCAGTCCCCGCCCAGTCCCTCTGGGGTGGCACCTGCTCCCCGAGCTGCAGGCACCTCCTCTGTCTGTTCCCTGCACCGTTGCTCCCGTCACCACGTGACTCCCGAGGCCACCTCCCGCTCCAGGCTGTCAGTAATGGGGGTGGGGGGGCCGAGGAGGCAGGAGCACCCGGTCGGCAGCTCCCCCTGTGGGGTCACGTGACAGAGGGCGTGACCGCCCACCCAGAGAGACAGGGGCCCAGAACCCCAGGTCGGCGTGGGCATGGGCCACCACCAAACGCCAGCCGACACGGCCAGGTGTCTTCCAAGCCTCAGAGACGTCCCAGGGCATTTGCTCAGCCTGGACACCCCTCTCTTTTCAGGGTCCACCCTGCTGGTGGCTGTGGAGGGGACCCTGATGTGAAAGACGCGGACACCGGAGGCCAGCCTGCCGGCCTCCCAGTCTACAGTGAGGGCAGGGCCCACTGGCGGCCGGGCTCCGCTCGTCCCCTGCCCCACACTCCCCATCCACCCTGAGCCTCCTGCCTGTGGCCGACACCCCCAGGCAGCAGCTTCAGGAAGCTGGGTTCCAGTTCCAGGTCCGCGCTCACCCTCTTCCCCTCCGGGCCTGGAGGAGCTGCTGCAGGCGGCAGCCAAGGGGGACACAGGGAACACGGTGGGGGGGGGCACAGGCCCCCAGGGAGCCCCACAGCTGCCCTGCACTGTGTCCTGTGACAGTGGGGGAGGGGGTCTGGCCAGGCTCCTGTCTCAGCATCCCAGGACGGAAGGACGCCCCAGGCCAGGGCAGCGTCCCAGCTGCTCATGCCACTTCTCGCTGCCGCTGCTCTTTGAGCGGAGTGCCGTCCAGCAGCAGTGGGGCAACGCAGCGGGGCCTGTGACGGGGACGGGGTCACTCAGCTTCTTAAGTTACTGCGTTTCCATCTGAAGTTTCTGTGTGAGCCCCGGTGCACCAGGAACCCTTCTCAGGCCCTCCCTCGGGGCCTGCAGCTCCCTGCCCGCCCCCAGGCCGAGGTGACACACCACCCCCTCCAGGGCAGTACCCTGGGGCACAGGAGGCCAGGGGACCGAGGGACAGCTGGCCCCAGGCAGGCTCCTGGAGGGACCTCTGGGGAGGCAGGGTTGGGACTGGAGCAGGCTGCCAGCTCTGCCATCTGCAGTGACCACAGGGGACCACGCAGGCAGCACCGGGCCTCCTGTGGCACAGATCCGCGTGTGGCGGGGTGTCCTGGCCACTGTGGGGGCAGTGATCTGAACAGAGAGCAGGGCTGAGCTGGCCCCCTGCTGGGACACCCTCCTGTCATCCAGCTTCCGGCCATTTCCCTCCCCTCCCGTCACCATCCACGTCCTCTAGGCCCAGTACTATCCTGGACAGAGGCCACTTCCCGGAGCCCTGGGTGCCACCTGCCAGATCTTCGGGCCGCTGACCCGCCACCCTGCTCAGCCTTTCTCGGCTGCTGGGCACTATGCCCACTGAGCCGCCACGGGTCCCCTGACTGACCGCCGGACTGCTGGCTGCTCGCCTGGGCCCGGCACTCGCTGGGTCTGGGCCCTACGGGGGCGGCAGACGGCTGCTGGGCCCCCGGCGCCTCAGGTCCTGCCTCCACTCCTGCCCCCTGGCTGCGGGGCCTTTCTCCTTCCCACCCCCAGCACCAGTCCCTCTGACCAAACTGTCCCCATCCTGGTCTATTCCTCTTGGGAGGGTCTGAGTCCTAGTGGGCCACCCACCCCTCCCTCAGGGCAAATGTGAGCTGAGGGCCGGCTGTGCAGGGTGAGGGTTACATGGGTGACGACAGACAGGACAGAGGCAGAGCGGCGTGGATGGACAGTGAGCCAGTGACCCCGCCAAGGGAGGGGGGAGAAAGAGACCCAGAGAAGCAGAGACAGACAGGGAAGGGCTGTCCTGTGTGCCCAAGCTCACACCTGTCACTGGAGCCCCAGGCTCAGGGCGAGTGTGGACTCTGTGAGTGTTGGGCCCCAACCCCCTTCTGTCCCGATGGGTCTGCACCTCCCTGGGTCTGTGTGGGCCACAGCTGCCCGACCGGGCCCCGCTGAGGGCGGCCGTGTGCCTCCCTGAAGGTGGCTGTGAGGGCACCCACACTGTGCAGGTCGGGTTGCTGGCAGGGTGTCAGCTGTGGGTCATCCCCCAAGGCTCGTGGGCAAGGAGCCCCAAAGGGCCAAGCTGAGCAGACCCTGAGCTGGGAGCCCCCAAACACCTGGAAACTGGTGACCGCCCACAGAGCGCCTGTCCGCAGACCTGCCCCAGGCCTGGGGCTTTGACCCACCCCCCCACGAAGAAATGAAACGAATGTGCTCCTCACAACCTCAGGGAGTTGGCCGGGGCCCCCCGCTGGCCTGTCCCCAGGCCCACCCTTCTGGGCAGCAGGGCCACACACACCCCCGCCCCGAACCTCCTGGCCCAGACCCAGGCAACAGGCCTGTGAGCAGGAATGGACGGTGTGAGGCTCCCAGGGCCCAGGACCCTGCAGCTGGGCGTCCTGGACCCACACTGGCAAAAGTGGGGGCTAAGTGGGAAGTGCCCCTGCACCCCTCCTGCCCACCAGCCCACCTTGGCCACGTGGGGCCTGGCGGTGTCGGTGAGGAGTGGGAGCTGGAACAAGGTGCCCAGCAGACAGGAAACAGGCCTTATGGCCGCGTCCTCCTGAGCTTGCTGAGCGTCCAGGGTCCGCAGAAGGAAGGGTGACCCCGGGGTGAGGTCAGGGGCAGGGGTCTCCAGGATCCACCGCTTCCACCCCAGCCCAGGGACTCCTGATGACTCAGCCAGCGGGGATGGTGACATGTTGAGGAAGTGGCCACCAGGGGAGCCCTGGGCGGTGCTGGCAGGCAGGGCCCCTAGGGCTGGGCTCGCAGGACGCCCCCGTGCAAAGACCTCAGGTCGGGGTCTGGCAGCCTCCAGAAGGGGCCGCGGGCAGGAGGCCCAGCCTCGACCTTGCAGCGCCCCCGCGGTCCCCGCAGTGCAGCGCGCGCTGCAGCGGCGATCCCGAGGCCCGGGAGGGGGCGGGGCGGCCCGTCCGCGGCGACCTTCACGCTCCCTCCGCCGCGGGCCCCGCCGCGTGGGAACGGGGGTGTCTATGCGACAGTTTCCCTGAAAAATAGGTCCCACCCGGTCTGCCGGCCTCTCTCTGCCGGGCGGGGGGCGGCTCAGGAGTCTTGGGGGCTCGGTTCTCCCGCTCGAGGGCGGCGCGGCCGGGACCCCTGTCACCCCCGCGCCGGGGACCCCTTTCCCGTGCGCACCCGGACCGAGCGAAAGGGGACGCGACCCCCAACCTCCCCGCTCGGCCCGAGGGAGGACTTTTCCCGCGGGGGGTGCACGCCTGTCGGTCCTGCACGCGCTCACCGAGCGCCCCCAGTGAGCGGGAAGGCGGCCCCGCACCCGGCTCCGCACCGAGGGGCGCGGATGGGGCCACAGCCTCCGGATTCTGTGCCGCACCAAGCGGGCCGGGGTCGCGCGCGCGGGCTCGGAGGGCTGGAACCGCAGGACCCTCGGAATCTGGCCGAGAGGGCAGGTTCCGGAGGCAGACGGGGGCGCGGCGCCCGCCCCCGCCCTCGCGGGCGCCCGCGGCCCCGCCCTCCTCGTCACCGGCGGCGGGCGGGGGGCGGGGGCGCCTCCCTGTGACGCGCCCTCCTCGCCGTGCCCTTCAGCCGCCGCCGCAGTTCCTGGGGCGCCACATGGACCCGGCCAGCCCGAGCGCGCCCCGCCGCTGACCGTCCGCACGCCGCCCGCGCCCCGGCCCAGGGAAGGTAACTGTTTCCCGGTGCGCAGCCCACTGGCCGCCGGGCCGCCCGGCCCGAGCCCCGCGCGCGGGCGCGCTCCTGCCCGACCGGCGCTGTCCGCCGGCGCGGTGCTGAAGCGGCCCCGCGGCCTCGCGGCCCCGGCCCGCGCCCCACTCTTTCGGGCTCCTTCTCGACGTCCCCTGCCTCTCGCGGTTCCCCTCGTCCTCCTCCCTCGTCCCCTGTCTGCTGCGTTTTCTCTCCTGGCGCGCTCCCGCCTGAGGACCGCTCCGCAGAGCCGGGCAACTCGCCCGCCGCAAAGCCCTGGGGGTGCGGCGGCGGGAGCCCGGCCTGCGCCCCTGGGGGGCTCCAGCGGCCTCACCCCCACTTCTCTGCACCTGGGCTCGCGGTTTCCTCTGAGCCAGGAGCCGGAGGAGAAGTTTGGGAGCGGATCTGCTTTGCGGCAGAGGTGCTTTGCGGGGAGGGGGGGCAGGCCCGCCACCCCCCAGCCCAGCCCTCACACTCAGGTTCTCCTTCAGAGGAAGGAGAGGAAAACCCACAGTACAGTAGCTCTGCGGGGACCTGGGGTCCCTGCCAGGAGAGACCCCACGGGGGCCCAGCGGGGGGTGCAAATGCAGCTTTTACCGGGAGCGCCTGCCTCCTCACCAGCTTCCCACTGGCGGGGGCCCAGGAGGGCCCCACCTATGCAGACGCTGCTGGGGGGTCCCCCCCACAGTGGGGCCCCCGCTGGTTGTCCCACCCCAGAGTTTGCAGTTAGCACCCAATATCCCCCGGAGGGAGCCCAGCCTCCCAACACCCCCCCCCAGCAGCCGCCAGGATCTCCCTGAGGTGCACCCACTCAGGCCCCACCCAGCTGCACCCTGTTTCTCAGCTGGACCCAGTCCCCGTGGCCCAGGGCCCACCAGGGAAGCAGCAGAGCCGGTCACCTTCAAACGCCCCTGGCCCTGCCCCTGCTTGTCGCAGGCTGGCTTCTCTGAGCGGTGCCCTCCCCTAGGTGGTGAGCACCCCTGGGGTGTGCCCCCAGGGCTGGTGAGACCACTGTGCAGATCCAGTGGGGGTCCTGGAATCTGCTGGTCCTGGGCAGGGTGTGGGGTGGAAGTCCCTACTGCAGGGACCCTCCTGGGACTGGAGTCCAAGGCATGATGCTTTCTCAGACCCCAGACCACCCCCTGGGGGGCGGGCAAGAAGGGAGCCTTGCAGGTCGGTTAGTGGGTGGGGCCAGCCTGTGACCCTCTCCTCTCTTCCAGGCACAGGACTTCACCGCACTCGAGTGTGAGTTCAGACCCTCTGAGGAGCCATCGTCATGGAGTTTGTGATGAAGCAGGCCCTGGGAGGTAGGGACGGGGGCAGGGCAGGTGGGCCGTGCCTGCTGGTGGCCGCTGCACACTCGGGGCCAGGGTGCCGCAGGGGTCAAGGGCTGAGCAGCGAGCAGCCCACTCAGCCTGGCGGGGACACCTCAGGACGGTTTTCAGGGCCCCACAGGCAAGTGAGCCCTGGCTGCTGCAGTGAGGGTGGGGGGCGCGGAGACAGAGCTGAACCTGGGGTGGGCGCAGCAGGCTGAGCCCAGCGGCAGGAGGCCGGGCCCCAGACCCCTGTGAGCCTGCCGCCCACCCCGAGGCAGTGTGACCTGTGCGTTTTCAGGGAGGGGACCACTCCCAGCCCTGCAGAGTCCTTAGAAGGGGGTCCTGTACCTTGTGGCCACAGACCCTGGCCCAGGAGGTGGCGGGCCGCAGGCCGAGGTCCACACTGGTGCAGAGGCTTTGGGGCAGGGCCCTCAGCTCAGCCCAGGCCCGGGGCCACCCCTGCTCGGCTCTGCAGCAGCTGAGATGGAAACCTGTGGCCAGCGCCTGACAGCCATGGCCAGGCTCCTCCTTGGGTGTCATCCTCGGCCACGCCTGACCCGGTGCTGTCCCCGCCGGGCGTTCACCGGTGCCACACAACAAGTCACCCCAGGTGCTGCCGCCGGGTCAGGGGGTCGGGCGCCAGGGCCGGAGGTGGGTGCCGAGGCCCTGTGCCGGGGCAGCAGCCCCGTGCGGCCCTGTCTCTAGGACAAAGTGCGTGGACAGACACTCGGGCTTGGCTGGGGGCCACACTGGGAGGTTTTGTGGTCTGGGAGAGGCTGCAGGTTGCATCTAATTATAATGATTACGTCACCAGGACGTGATGCAGGAACAGCCAGCATCCAGGCGCCGGGAGGGAGCCCTGCTCCTCCCAGCCCGCCCCAGGCAGTTAGAGATAATTAATTAGGTGGCTAATTCAGGCCCTGAGGTGGGCTTACAGGAACACCGAACTACCTGATTCGGCTGTCTACACGCCTGCAATCAGCCGGGTAATTGCCCGCACTCCCTTCGTTTGCTGTCAGCCCAGAGTTTCTTCTGTGGTGGCGACGGGGCGGCTTTTCAAAGGTGGGGGAACCACGGAGAGGCACCCCCAGGGTGCTCCGGGCTGCGTGGTGACCCCCCACATTTGCTGCCCCGGTGCTGCCTGAGGCGGGGACTGTGCCTGACCCCCGGGTGAGACCTGCTTTCCTCTCGCCAGGCACTGGGGATCAGCGTGGGTGACAGGGAGACAGACAGAGACACATTTCCCGAGACGGGCAGACAGGAGCCCCCTGTCTGCAGACAGGAGAGTGCGGAGGAGCCTGTAGGAAGGACCCGGGCAACAGTCTTGGGAAGTGAACCGAGACACAGGCAAGGGCATGGAGGTGGAGAACGTACAGCCCAGAACAGACCCAGGACAAGACAGAAATGGAAATGCCCCAGGACCCGTGAGACAGAGGTGGAGGAAGGCAGACGCGCTGCAGAGGCGACGAGGCTTCTGGGAGCCAGGCGGGGGCGGCGGCGGGGCCAGAGAGCCAGGCAGAGCGAGAGCCGAGGGTGGCGCCCTGCAGCAACGCCTGCAGCGAGGCTGAGGGTCCCGAGGACACGGCCTGGAGGTGTGAGGGCAGAACACACGGGCACAGAGACAGACAGACAGACACAGATGTGTCAGGAACAAAGCAGAGTCGGGGACAGAAGCCTGAGAGTGGCCCCGCGCACCCACCCACACACGCCTCAGAGGCTCTCAGCGGGGGAGGGAGCCCGGGAGGCCTTCCCGAGCTGCTCTGGGGACAGAGCTGGAGCAGCCGAGTTAAGTCCCAGCCACCTGCGGCTGTCCCAGCCCAGTGGTCTGCAGTGGCCAGTCCTCTGCTGAGGACACACTCCCCAGTGCCTCCTCCGCTGCCCTGACCTGGGCCCGAGGCAGGTCCTTTGCTGGGGACAGAGGCTGCAAGGTGCCTGCCTGGTGGGGAATCTGGCACCAGACAGGCAGACAGACAGGCAGACAGACAGACAGGCAGGCCAGGGGAGGCTGCAGGCCTCCCACGTGCATGGCTGTCCTCTGAGCCTCGTCTTCTCCGGGGCTCAGGGCACCCTGGGACGAGGCACCCCTGGCATGGCCCTGGGTGGCGAGCAGGGGCCCAGGGGCCAGCTCACCAGCCATCCTGGCCTGTCACCCCAGCAGCCTCTCTGAGGGCAGGTGGCGGTGGTGCCCACAGAGGGAGGGACAGCCGGCTCCCCTGCAAGGACAGGACTCTCGGTCTCTGGGCCCTGGGGCGGACACCAGAGCCTTACAGGGCAGCGTCTGTAAGACACCCCTCCCCCCTCCCCCCCAATGGCTTTGCTGGGGTCAGCCCGAGGGCCGGTGGGGGCAGGATTCTCTCAGGGCCAAATCATACAGGGACATGTCAGCTGTGGTCAGCTTCTCTCCAAGAGAATGCGCTGGAGACCTTTAGAGGTCAGTGCTGCCCATGGGCCGGGAGAGGACCCCCGATTTCAGTCAGTCCTGGACAAAGGAGACAGAGGCTGAGCCCGTGGTAGCCACGTGGGGACCAGGCCTGGAGCTGGGGCCTGGCACCCCAGCCACGTGGCACGGTCTGCGTGGCTCAGTCCTCAGGGTGCAGTTTGAAGAGACTGTTTTCCCCGAGGCCAGGACACCGAGCATGGCCCTGGAGCTGAGTCTGCCCCAGGCCAGCGTGTGGGCTGGTGCCAGGTTCTCAGGGCTGGGCGGACGCTAATTGGGCGATTTCTGACCAAAAGACCCGGTCCGGCCACAGCGGGTCAAGGGGTCCCACAGGTGAGGGTGGGCGTCGGCGCTGGGTAACAGACGACAACACGCCTCAAAGGACAGTGAAGCTCTGTTCCGTTTGTTGCAAGGACAAGCAGGTTTTTATATTTTCATTTGAGGTAGTGATTAACATTTGCAGGTGTATAGCATGATCAGTTAAGGAGAAAAAATCAATACAAAGGTAACCAGGAAAAGTATGAAGGTTCTCATAGATTTAGTTATAATAAACAAAGATTATTTTAACCAGGAGAGCTATTAATCAGACAATTAGAAGTATCTTATTGTATATTAAAGTTTCTCAGAATTTGTCATAGGACAAAAGGATACGCTAGATTGAGTAGAGAAAATAGGAAATTTATTATAAGGCCCTTGTGATGTCTAACTTAGCTATCTATCTTTTTTTGTCTAAAATGTTTTTCTGTGTACCATAAATTCTGACTCCCTAGTGACTGTTTAGTTTGTAATAACTAACTAGCTTTTGTTATTTCTTTGCCTGTCTAGTTGATGTATATTCTTATTCAAGGTAAAGGAGGGGCTATTCCTATGTTGCAGGGGGCTTCCAAGGGTACTTCTTTTAAGTTTCTCTAGGAGTTCTTTTATAGACATGTTTTGTACTTTGATTCCCTCTAAGAAAGAGTGAGATCATCTCCTGATTTCCTAGAGTTTTCTAACTTATCTTGGGTGTTTTTCCAATGATCTGTTATTGATTAAGCTTGAATTCTCTGATTGTTCTGGTTGTTTCTTTGTACCTATATTCCCTGACGTTTCTAGTATGATATCATTATTCTGTTCATTGAGCCGGGAAAGGTCTAGGCACACTGTCTGAATCACTGCCAGGGTATTCATAATGATTAAAGCAAAAAGGGTCATGATCCCCAAAGCAAGCACAATCACAATAGGTATTGCAAGCCCTTCCATGCCACGTCCACCAGGTTGGAAACTGCTTCCTTGAAGTCTTACACCCCCTCTCAGGACCTTGTCACGGAGAGAGGGATCCAACAGTGGATGCGGCAGTGGACATGGCGGTTGGCTGTCCTGCCGTCTGCCTCAGTGAGACACGTTCTGTGCCCAGAACACGTGCAGGCCTTTGGGTGCTGCGTGGAGGGAAGGCAGGGCTTCCTGGAGGTGGGACGTTTGAGGCGGCTCCAAGGAGGGTCAGGCAGCAGGGACACCGCTCGGGCAAAGGCTCAGGGCCACGGCGGCGGGGACAGGCACAGAAAGCCGTGGAGGTTGGAGGGACAGCCGTGGGCTCCCAGTGGCCTGGTCAGTGTGGACCACGCCCTGTGGGGAGCTGGCCACCCAGGAAGTGGGGAGGCCGCTGTTTCAGGGACAGGGACACCGGGGCTGTGGGCCCGTGGGAAGGAACAGCCGTCCTGAACCTGCACGACTGAGTTGGACAGCAGTCCCCAGGTGTGGGAAGGGCTGGGCCACCACCCCAGCCCTCCATGGGCAGCCCTGGACACCTCCAGGGCTCTGCAGCCAAGGGCCTCCGCACCCTGTGGGGGGTGGGCTGTTTGCTCTCAGCCCGGTCGCCCCTGGGGTCCCCAGATGTGCCCAGGTCGGGGCAGGTATGGGAGAGCAGAGCGCCCTCCTCACAGCTCCCACAGGTCAGTGGGACTGGGGTGCCAGTGGGGGCACCTTCCTTCATGATCTGGGAGCCACTCGGGTGGCATCTGCTCTGCCTCCTGGGGCACCTGCTCCATGGACCCCACACTAGGGACCCTGAGGCCTTTACCGGTCACATTGTCCCTCACCCTGCTTCCTAGGACCTCAGGTCAAGGGTCATGGAGGCAGCCTGCGGCCCCCAGTGGTCCTGTCCCGACCCCTGTGTCCACCCATTGGAATCTATACAGAGGATGAGGCCAGACCCCCAGTCCCAACACAGGTTCTGAGGGTGGGTGGTCCCACTCTCTCCCCTGTCTGCCTGTCTGTCTGTCTGGCGCGACATCCCATGGACCTGGGGCTGCCCCACAGGGACTCTGACCAGGGGAGGCCGGGCTCTGGTGTCTGGGAGACTGGAGGAGCTGGGACCTGAGCTGGGTGGGCTGCAGAAGGAGCGGATCTTGGGGGAAAACTTTTGAATTCTGCTTTTGACGGAAATCGCAGAGAACCAGGCAGACTGGCCTGCACTGAGGTTGGATTCTCTCGTGTGAGGGGTGTCAGGAGGCAGCTGGGCTGCTCAGCAGTGTCCTCAGGGACCTGCTCCCGGGCCACTGTCAGCCCAGCCTGC